CAAATTTTATGTAAATCATAGTAGATGGAAGTCAGATTTTTAGTGTCAGTATAAGTCTTGGAAAAATGCAATGTCACATTTGATTTAAAGACACCATTTGCTTTCTTCAGTCAACAGAATGCTTACTGATGATTGGTATTAAATAAATCACAGCCAAATTTCGAAGTGGTATTCAGAATCTGATTTGTAGGCCGGCAATAACGGTAATGTCAGTTCTAATTGTGAGCGGATGGGCGCATCGTTTTAATCCATCCCCCATGAGAAAGTGTTCAAGATACGGGTTAGAGTGCTATGTATTTGACTATTGTGGTTATATGAAATGATGCAAATGCACTTAACTTTAGCCTTCAGGAATATTCATTGCATGGTGCTTCGTCATTTGCTGTGGCAAATTTTAATTTCAAAAATGAATGTTAAGTCCCTGGTTAAAATTTAGTCATGTGTTTTGATAAAATTTTATGTGTATAGTGAAATAAAGGTAAAACGTATTTCGGTCTACAACCGGCACAGAATCTTCAAGATTATTACTTAAGTTTACGATATCCTGGTGACCATCTACTACAGCAGCTAACACACTTGCTGCCAAGCCTTTTTTTATACTTTCAGCAAGATCATAAGTAAACGAAATTTTGAAACATTACAACCTTCGGCCTGGTTACTGCGATCTTCGTAAATAATTTCTCAGGAGAGAATACCTGATAGGAATTATTTTAGCAAAATAAAAAAAACACTTTTTGCCTTGTTTACTGAACGAATTATCAGGAAAACATGGTGATTTATATTAAAAAATACTACAAACATTAATTTTACGAATAGTATACCTAGCATTCACTCAAACTAATATGTTCCAAAATATGGCCCAATAGATACGAATGCCATTTAAATGGTCAATCAACTCTTCTCCAATATTCATGGATTAACGGAATGATCTCAGGTTGTAAGATTAACTATTCGTAGGGATTAGTACAGTGTCTACTGTGTGGTGAGGTAAATTAAAGTTTAAGGCCACCCACAGGTTGGGTAATTTCTAAAGTGGGTTAACATGGGACTGAGATTCAGCGAGAATCACCCCTACGTCCTATCCATAATTTGAGCATGACTTAACAGGAGGAAAAAATCAAAGGGATGACTACGTAGTGGTCACGTTTACTCTTCAGAGCTAAATGATCTCTCTCAACGAAATAATAGTGTGCACATTTTCTATGAGTAGCGGAAGGGTTACCTCTGTAGAACAAACCAGGATTGCGTCACTTTGCATCATCTGCAAATAAATAAATAAATCTAATTTGGTTGGCAGCATTTTTGACGTTAATCCTTGCCATTTTTTGTACCACAAACGCCACATTGTAACAAACAAGCAGCTAAATTATTGTGGAAAACCCTCCCATTAACCGTTCAGTCTCTCTCTCCCTCTGCGACTCACAGTGCATTTATGACACCGTATATTAAAAAGTAATGGTCTTGAAGGATAAATCAGTCCCTTCGTGGCATTTGGGGTTGTAAGTCAACTCGTGTGATGTAAAACGCTCCTCGAGGCACAAACACAGTCGTCATAAGCGGCCTGTTAGCTTTTATTGCTTAATGTGTCTTTGGTGGTTAAATAAAGATGCAAGTGATAACTTGAGATGAAAGACAAATTCATATCTACCGAAGTGTGCGGAATTATAAAAAATTAATGCACTCCGATCTGAAATTATAACCTGGATGTATCTAAATGGACATCAAAATCGTGAGTTGACCTTAAAACCATTTTTAGATCATCTATTAAAATATTTTCCATATCTCGGTGAAACTACCATGACCTAGTTCGTCAATTGAGTGATTAACTTGATTTGAAAGTAGCAAGCAGCCAGTGCCGAAAAACAAGCCAAATCCAATGTCTTTGATGGTTTCAACGCATAGGCAATAGCGCCTTGTCATCCCGGCGTCCAAAACCAAATTTACGTTGCTGTCCCGCATTGCCACCAAAACGATTCTCTTCAATGACTTCAGCTACACTGCTTTATGGTAGTCCTTGAGTAATGACTCGAGCGTCCAGGAATAAAAGGTGTCGAAACCGAAATCCTCCTTGTGGCCTGCTTCCATGTCCTTGTCAACGAGAGTTCGATAAGGGACTAGTAGGAATGCAAGTTGAGATATAGTATTTACCTTCTTGTAAAATATCTGCACTTTGATAAATTTGCCGAAAAGTATTAGCCACTTTTTGGAAAGTGAATTTAAAGATGATGCAGGAAATTGCAGAGCAACTTGTCATCCTACGACCTGGTACACACCAACATGGTACGGGAGTGAAACCACGTAGTTTCAACGAAGAAGGAATGAAAATACCTGCAAAACGTAAGGAGAAAGTTAAATGGAATGATGAAGACTACGTTAGCAAATAAAAAACGCTATTTTTGATGAATATGCAGTGTATTTACTTTGATTTCAAATGGGGCTCGAACTTCTGCAATCACCCAGCATCTGACCTCAAGACCATTGAATGTGGGTTGGCCTTACATGTGAAGTGTAATCAAGGCAGCAGGTTTAGGTGCAAAATGTCATGAAAGTACTGACCTTAAACAAATTTTTGAATTCAGAAACTTGCTCTGATTTTAACTCCTGAGTTACTGTTTGTACATGCTTCATTTTATTCCTTAAAAAACCCCAATACATTAAAATTTAAGTGCCATTTTTTTAAGTTTGAAAGTTAAAATATACTTCAACTGTATTTTTTTGGCGAATGAACCAAGAATTCTTTCAGGGTCAGGCTAAACCCCATTGTCGCGGCTGGGAAACTTGAGCAGCGTAAATCCCCTCTGATTTTAAACATAATTGCGTCAAAGCATAGAGACTGAAAACAAATATTCCCACGCTCACAGCTGTTTGAGGCACTGCCATATATATGCACCTTTATTGAGCATTCATTTACAAATTAATAGGTCCTCTATATTATTGTTACTTAATCGTTCCCACATCTTTCTGTTGGCACAGGAAGCTGTGGAACCTGAGGGAACTATTATGCTGGTGTGCCTACATGGCATAACCCATATGACATGTTGCAGATAAACCTCGTGATCCCATTGCGCCCTCCACCTTCTGTTACTGGCCGAGAACGGCAAAAATGAAATACTGAATCTCAAAAGGGCTGAGCCGAAGGAACCTTGGGAGCGTTCACTTTGCATCCCACACTACGACCCAGCTATAAACGGCGGTGGCTGAATAGAGGTACAAACTTATGTCGTTCCCTTATCACCAAGCTTCCCGGTGCGCTAAAATAATCAAGTAAGAAAAACGGCAATCGATATTCAATGTAACCAGAATGGTGTCAGCAACGCTCATCCACAATGAGCACCTGCTACGAAATCACGAAAATAATGCTAACACAGTAGGTTTTGAATTCAGCGTCTTCGTTGTCACTTCCACGCAAATACAAACAGTCCACTTCCATTAACGCCAGTATTTAATGGAAAATTGAATGCTGCTGCTTCCTCATCACACACACATCGTTTTGGTTGCAGCAAAAGGTCTGTCCTTGTGTCATTTTCTGTAAACACAAAACGAGAGAAGAGACGGTCAACTATTCAGAATCAGAAGACATTCCAGTTTTCCACGTAGCCACGGCAGTGTTTGGAAAACTAATGTTTCCGCATATTTGTGTGATTGTCAACACGAACGAATTTCTCCCCAGTTTTCATTTTCTTGAACATCCAATTAACCTTTAATTATTTTAAGAAATCCAGTGCGATTTGTTTCTACACAGGTTCCAGTGAGGTAAGTTGATGTCATTGAGATAACGGAAAGAGCAGGGAGCAATTAAGGCCCCGCTGTTCAAGACGGAGGAGGTGTTGCCTTAGTCGGATGTGACCAAGTGTTCACACGAACCAAGTTGACTTTGAAGTACAACAGAAAAGACCTTCGATTATAGAGTCTACACGTACTCATTGTCCTTAGAGAAGTCAACATCGGGATCGCCGATTGTAGCAAAGACCAGCCACACCACAACCCCCCCTCGGCCCACATGATACCAGGGAACGACGACGGCTCAGGGGCGACAAAATGAGGTGGGCACAACTTGTTTACTCACCTGCTGATTGCACCGTACTATTGTGACGTGTAAGTGGTCGCTCACGCGGAGAACGGGCAAGGCATTAGGGGGAGGCTTTTACTGGAACATCCACCTTTGATCCACGCTGCCTTTTGAAAGATATTTTAATCAAAGCTATGACTCGCCATACCATAAGTACTATCCACTTTACGAGGTCTTTATTAACAATAAATAAAGCCAACAGGAAGAGAATATTCACTCGTGAAGTTGCTATGAATTAATTAATGTGACATGCAAAGTTAGAAGATGAAATTTTAATGTTAAGGCATTTAGAATTCAAACAGGCATTACTTCTGCACCAATCAGTTGAACTTCAAAATTTGTTGATTTAGACCTCGCTGGATTCACCACGCAACACGTCTTGATCCCGTATAACATCATAAACCGAAGAATAATGCGGTGCATCCACTGACATTGTTGCGCTGCTATTTCATCCACTAAAAGCGAACCGGAAGTGAAGGCTTAGCCACCTTCAGCCAAATCGTTGGAGAGCTCTAGCAACTGATTTTGTCCGTTCCGCAAAAAGATTATTCATCGTCAACGATGAACTGTTTGAGTTTCAAACCCACAAACAACCTCCTAATTACCCCCATAAATAATGTGCCTCACAATCTGAGATTGGGCAATCGCACTGGCTGCTGCAGACGCGGTTTGGTGCTAGAACTACCCTTCTGGCAACACCACTGAGGCCCGGCTGTGATTTCAGAGCCCCGAGGGTATTCCAAAATGTTCCTACAATCAGGTCATTACAGAACATTATGGCTTGTCAAACAAATATATTAATCGGCATTTTAAAGTACACCATAACTGCATATGTGATAAATACAAATGATAGAAGTAAGATTGCATGTAAGAAAGAAGCACGCGAAATAAAAGACAGCCGACAATTTGATGAACTTCAAGGCATGTAAACTCATAGTGGAGTTTTCCCCTTTTTTGCTGACGCCGACTCAGCCTTCTCCGCCAAAGTTGGCTTCGTATTCTTTGATACGCTTGCCTCCCTCTCGCCGTTGACGTAGGCGGCACCGACCCTGTCAATCAGCTCCTCATCAGGCAATTCGTCGACAATGTATGGAAGCGACATTGTGTCAGCTCGGGGAGCGGGCTCTGTAAAAACGTTGACAACGGCTCCAGCCAATCGAGGATCGTTGCCCCCGCGTCCCGTGACCGAGCGTGAATACTGTTCTGCCTGTTCCAAGGTGATGGTCAGCTTCGCAAGGCAGGCCTTATAGCGCATGATCTCGTCGAGCATGCGAACACGCTGACGCAGGATGTTAAGTTCCACGTCACGCCTTTTGATGTCGCCTTGCAAGCATCGAATCGTGGACAGGTGGTCCTTGATTATAGAATTGAGTGAGGCCACTTCGGAGTGGTGGTTTTCGTTCAACTCCTGCTAATGTAAGCGGAAATGTTTACTTGCACGAAATTAGTAGATATTTTTCAATAAAAATGAATTCGTATCACCAAAGCGGTCACATACGGAGTTCGCCGAACTGCAAGCATAATGCGGCTTTAACATTCATGAAGTAATTTTAGTAAACTCAACCAGAGCTATTTGAGTCAAATAGAATTATGTGAAGTAGTCATTAAAATGACACGAGGCTTGACTGATCGGTGTCTTGAATTGGTCTAATCTGGTTTTAGATTTGGCTATTGCTAAATCGGATAAATCAACTAAGTTCATGTTGCTGTTAGAGCTAAAAATATAGTTTGGAAACATTCTTATTTAGTTTTAAAGAAGCGTTCGCCAAGCATGTGGGGTCATACTTGGGGCATACAAACAAACAGTAGACAAATTGGATTTTAGTTGGAAACAGCCTAAATAGTTTGTGAAACCTATATCTACATCTACTAATTACAGGGACGTGTCGACATTAATGAACACTAGGCATGCCGAGCCACCTCCCTCTATGTTCAGAGGGGTAACCTCGACACTGAAAGTAATGCAATCGTTTCACTGAGCGCCCCAGAACAAGTGTAAAAATATCGTCGATAGAACTCAAAAAATCAGTAACCAAATAGTTTAACATCAAGTATTAAAAAACAGGGCAACTCTGCGAATCGTCGTTAGTGGTTGGGAAACAATTGAGCAGTCGATCTGAAGCACAATTATTTTAATGCAAACGAAGAACTTATAACGACAACTAAGTTATACAGCACTACAATGGCTTTGAAAGCATTCAACACGGCCATAACAAAACCCTGCATTAACTTGCTTTGATACATTGCGACGCAAGTTCGTCTTTCTCGCTAAGTTCTTGTCTCTGTTCCTCAACAGTTTTTTCCAATTCCTGGATTCTCAAAGTAACTGCCGCAAGGTGCTTATTAGCTTCGTCGATATTGCATTTCTGAGAAGAATCATCATTGTTCCCACCGCCAAAAACCCACATTCCTGAAAGTTTGAGAGCCTACAATGGTAATTGGGGTCTAAACCTACCAACAATACTGGCTATTTGCGCTAATTTCGTTTTAGTATCAACATCGATTATTCAGCCATCCAAAGCATTTAAAGGTAATCCATTGCCAATGAAGTGGTGGCTAATTAAAAAAAACTTAATGCGGGTTTTTTCTCTAATTCGGTTAACAAGTGCATAACGTGAGTGCAAAACGAAAAATTATACATTTTTCTTTTAAGAAATAAATTGCATGTTCTTTATTTGAGCTAACCTGGAGTGTACCAATATTCAAAATTCCTTGAATATTTTACATGCCTTTAGACTTGAGTTATTTATAATTTAAATCCTCATCGATTTTATAGTAATGATGTGCATAATAGATCCATGATCATTATCGATAATTGCCACTGTCATTAGTCGGATCAGCCAAAGCTTATTTATGAGTAAGTATTTTGCTATCTTAGACCTTTTCTTATCATTAAATCTATAAATGCTCATGCACAAATTTTTTTGGACTCCTGGTCCTAAAGTGACTTCTGTATTGTCACAAATTTAGCACTTCCTTCTTGGGATTTTGCCCTTCAAATGCGAAATTCGAACTTCGGTTTAGCAATCATTGAAGACTCTTAACAGGTTTACCGAGTTTTTGTTTATCACTAGGTTGCCATAAGCTTTAAAGATGCGTCAAGCTGCGAACTCTACTTCGTCCATTTTATAACATTTTCACGAATATCTTTTAGCTCACGTACTATGATCAAGGATTAAAACATTTTTTTCGTAAAAGTTTGTTATAGTATTGATTTTTATTGTATGTATCAGCTACATCCCTATTGCTATCTGTGATGGTGATGAGAATGTGTTCAATTCTGTGGAATCTACCATTTATCCTGCAACAAAAAATATGTCTATTAATCCACATTATGTATTTAAGGAATGACGAGGTTTAGCTTCTCTCAAAGACCAGAAGAAACCAAACATCCAAAAAAAGAACATTGTGCTTATTGTCACTCAATTGTCATTTAAAGTTGCAATTTTAGAAGCGTTGCATGAATTTAGAACATCAAGTGACCCAAGTGCATTTGAAACCAAAACGGAGATGTAATTATTGCACTATTATCAAATGCTTATGATTTCTTGGTCGCGCAAACACAGTTTTTGTAGTAAATTTCACACTGGTATAATCTTTTGGTGGTCAGCAGCAGAGTCCTTTAAAGTTCATTTAATAAACCCCGACTAAAGATCATACGAAATTTTTATATTTGACTTTTGATACAAGTATACAGCTAAAACCCATTAAAACAATTTTTTAACTTTTTAAACCACACCGGGAAAAAAATGGACGTATACAAATCATATTTGACTTTTACAATTATGTCTGGTTATAATATGTGGTTCCGTGCTTCAACAAACTAGAAGTTTTTAGGCCAGCACAAAAACATTGGGGAGAAGGTTTCTTCCTATGACTGAGATGTTGTTGTAAATCGTGTTTTTTTCAACCCCTTAATCCTGTCACTCCACCTCCAACACAGAGTTCCCCCTTTTTCGCAGCATGGCGCCATTCACACGACTATTTATTTTGGATTTTCCTCACACGTAGGCCTCGATGTTAGCGCATTTGTGACTTACACATCCAAGCTATAAATATACACGCGCAAACCCCGCACACCACCACGGCTCCGTCAAGTTCCCGAATAAACTCTTGATTCTCTGTCTCTCCACCGACTTCATCCTCGTTGGGTAGTTAGTGGTATATGGCGTCTCAACATATTGGTGACCCCGATGATGTTATCATAACGTTGAAATATAAATCACAGTTGAATATACAATGCCAGTTCATGGACTTACGCTAGGTCTTACTTTGCAAATCGTTTTTTCAGTTGGCCAAATGACCATAATAGTCCAGATGCAACGACTAACCTCGATGTCCATTGTGGATGCATAGCGAATGCCTCTAATAATTTCCTCGGTATGTCCATACAATTTCATTCGAGTCAACAATTGACTGTCCGGACAGGAAATCTAGGTCCATCTGCTCGTGTTGTTGACCTATCAACAGACGTTGGTTCGCTAATTTGTAGTGGACCCTCAGTAAAGTCTTGTGAGAAGACGGTTGTCCGAACAGGCGACCGAAAGTCATTTGGTATCTGTGCTTCATTCGTCCCTTTTCCCGTTCTCTGTCACTATGCTCACGCACGCACAAACACACTGGGCCTGGTGGGTGGACAAGCAGTTGTGTCCACTTCAGCGTGTCGCCCTCTCCACGAAATCGGATTATTTTGGTGTCGACGAACGATGAAGTTGCAATGACAGACAAACGCTAGTGTCAACGGGATATTGTCAAATTGATCCCTTAATTAGTCAACGACACCCGTGCCTTATTTAGAATTGGCGACGCCATTCCGCACAACAATTGCCATGTTTTCCGACTATGTGCAAGGATATGCAATGTTTATCTCCTACAAAACGACATTGACGCTTCAGCCTCTCTCCACTAGAACCAGAAACCTCAGACTTTGTGGTCATTATCTGTTTGGCTTGCCAAGTTCCATAACCAATGACTACGGTTATCAACCCATAACTTCGTTTCAAGATTCCCATTACCTCCTGAATGACAGCACTTTTGAGTTACAAGTATCATTCAGCATGCATTGGAGTAATTTAGCGCCTCCGTCGCCTGATAGGGGCATCTGCTTCTTTAAGACTAGTTTATTAGTGCACCGTTTTACATATTTTCGCACAGCCAAAACGCTTTAAAGTATCTGCAAAATCCACGCTCTCAAAGCTGCACTCCCACATCAAGGTGAGATCACTGACTTACCTATACTCATTATCATGTTTTGATCCGTTAGAAAACCTCATGGAAGAGATGCGACTAGAACCACTGCTTCATCACCACACCAATCTACATTCAACAATCACCTGCTGACGTTTGTGCGTGGTGCAGGATGTAACGAAGATCGACAAGGCACTGTATAAGGCACGGCTATCAAACAAGGCTGGCATACCTATTCATTTACCATAAAGCCGGAGCTGCATCTAAACAAGTGTGTTTATAGGGTTAATAAGAATCAGATGACTGAATCACAAAAAGTGGCATTAGTCAATAAAATTGTAAATCTATTAGTTTTAGTTATCAGAAAGTTTGACTCACTGAGAAATAGATCGGACTTTATACATCAAAAAGCATACGCCATTGATCATCAAGAAAAGACCCCCTGTCTGCTGACTCACTACGCGTGACGATAGACGTGAGATAACATGGACCATTCGTGAAAGTGCTTTTTAAAGTAGTGTTTCTAGAACGCACACAATAAAAGTACCGTCTCGCTTTCATTTTCTTCATATTGGTCAAAACGATGAATTATAAAGTATATTTAATTATGCCCATTCGTAAGTCTGTGGTAGGCCTATCTGAAATCTTCAATAAAGACAGCACCACACCTTTACAAGCAGAAATGCTGTTTCATGTTGTTACTTTCATGTCCACTTTATTTTGGCATTAAGAGATTCACAATTAAAAACGGATCTACTCTCTTTATTTCTTGTTATTTTGTCAACAAACACGTTTTTACTGATTTTCAGTAATCTTACACAGCAGAATTGATAGTACGTTTGAAGTCAAAGAATTATTTTGGTTGAGTTTTTCGGATAACCAATTAAATCGCTTAAAATGATTTTAGTTTATCCTACGATGTGCATTCGTTTGAGTGGAATCACTAATCCTTTCGGTGTATCTCAAAACGAAGGTGATGGCTGCACGCAACTACTTATTGCAGCGTGGATTTATTGATTTTTTTCACATGTTCCGTTTGGTGCTCTTAAATCAGGAGTGATCTTGTTTCTGTCAGTTATTTCCTTGCATCAAATGGCAACTGATCCATTCATGAAGCCAGCCTTACGTACTTTAGGCTTATTTAGCCAACCTCCTTATTCTAGTGAACCCTACGTCAACCCTCCTCTAAATGTCTTTCGAGAGAAACCCGATAATACACTTAAACCAATGTACTGCCAGGGTGGCGAATCAAAAACCAGGGCGGGTAATTCAGATGGCTACTTTGAGCCTTTTAAGCGGACTTTTGAGGGGGAAGCCATTTCCAACATAGTTGCTATCCGTCGCGGTTGGAGAAAGGATAATAATATGAGAAAGGTTGGCAAAGAGTGGCTACCTTCATCTCCCACAAAAAGGCGTGCTGGTCTTGGCAGCACTCTGGGGAATTTTACCACTGTCATCGAAGCCATGAGCCCGGAACAAAAAAAATATCCCAAACCGCCTAAATTGCCAAATTTTTATACTAATCCTGGAAAGAAAGGAACTGGATATGGATATGTAGACGTCTGTATAAACCCCTACCCTGAGTGGAAGCCGGGTGCCTCTATATACGCAAATCCTGGGCCTTCAATGAAGGAGCTAAATGAAAAGCATCAGCTACAATGTCTTGGGCGGCCGATATTCATAAACCAACAAGCTAGTGGAGGTTTCTTTGGCCCGAATCCCTTTGAAGGGACGGATCCTTTGGCTCCTGGTGGCCCACCCATACAGAAATTTGGAATTTCAAATTATCCCAAGGAACTGATGATTGGTCCGATTTTCTGTCCACCAAATCCGGCGAAAAAGGATGGCGGGTGTAAAGACGGGGCTCTAAGCAAGTGGCCAGCACACTCAGCCGAACCCTTCAAGGAGATGACTAAGATCCTACTAGAAAAGTTTAATTCGTCACCTGAAAATCAACAACTAAAACTGTGGGTACCCCAGCCTTGTTCGGCCATCGAGAAGCCTACAAAGTCCATTATTAATAAGAATGTCGACCTAGCAATTAATTCGATGACACGCAAGAGCCGGTTTTTCGTTAGTCCCATGTGCAAAAAGTAAATTAAGCACTGTTTTCTTCAACACACGTATTTCTTATAATTCAGAGTTCCTTAAAATCCGGCTTATTTCCTTGTGGCCTGGAGAGGTGTAAGACGTACACATTAACCGATGCTGGTTAAATAGTCCACAAAATACAACAGTTCATTTGCCGATATTAAAGGGGATTGAAACATTGGTAAAAATGGAGTGTTAATGGAAAAGGACTAGTTCTTAGTTAAATTTCATTATTTAACTCCAGAAAAATTTTTGGCTGACATTGTCAGCCCTTACTTCACCTAGAGTTTTTGAGGTGGATTGTGACCGATGTGTACATGGAGTGCAATAATTCAAATTAGGCAATCAATCCGAATTCATTTTCTGTCACTGATACTCTCAGACTGTTTCGGATCTTTTAAACAAGTGATGGGACCACTTAGCCTAATTTTATGCTAGTTTATTATGGTGCGATAATGTGCTTGGGGATTAAAATCACCAGAAGTTAATCAAAGTATGTAATATTTTATTTTCACAAAATTACTGCAAATGCATGATCGATTTTCTTCATTAAAATCCATGTAAACAGCAAACATTTACAAAACCTTTGTTATTAAAACGGAATGACATGACAAACCCGTAAAGAAAAAAAGGACGATTCGGAACGTTTGTTAACATAAACGTTAAATTTCCTTTGTACACTTTAAACAGCGTTATACATGATTGCCTTTCTGATGGTGAACTAATCGTAAGCGGCTCTCAGAAAGAATATGAATTAAAACAATCGATAAATCAAGCCTGACATGTAAGTCTTATAGTGCGTAATACCATTTGGGCGACTAAAGCCTAAATCTACATCAAGCACTTAAACTGGTGTGCTCAGTTTTTCTTGACTAACACAGCCCATCGCAATTGAGTGTTTGTGGGGACTAACAAGCGCGCATGTTTTCAAGGCTCCTTGAGAATTTTCGAGGCAATGTTGTGCCCCAAGCTTAATACCTGCGACTTTACCTGCAGCATTGGCCCGTGTCCTAGTAAAGCCACAATCAAGAAGTGAGGGTAAAATTAAAGCGTAACTGGTCTGTTTTACCTAAAATTGCAGCATGTTGTTTTTATCTTAAGCTAAATTACAGCTTAAGCCACTAATTCGTTGCTATTCAGGCCTCTTGGGGACTTAAAGCTCCATTGTAAAGTAGCTCTGCTTTGTACTTATCACCTCAAGAGATAATCAGAGATTTTCTTGAACTTGTTGGCCTTACAAATGGGGATCATTTCTGCGATTCGACCAGGAACCAAAGATTGTTCTGCTGATTTTTCTTCAGTTCTTTAAAGTGGTTAAAGAGGCCCAGCCTCAGGTTAGCAGTAACAAAAGGTCACTCTTATCAATCGAATCGCAGTCTGCAGTGTCAAAGGTACCCACAGCCTATGATATTGTGTAGCATTCGATCTGACAGGTGAGTCGTCCATCTAACTACCTAATGCTGCACACACCGAATGGTGTATTCGCCGTTACTGATTTAATGATGAACAATGGATAATTTAACTCGTAATCACTGCAACGTATTTATCAGGAAAACGATTTTTCAGTGTGCATGATTGAGCCCCGCTCGATAAGCTTATAAATTTTTCGAGGCCTCTAACTGATTCAGTTCCTGCCTTTCCTCGGTGAGAGAATGCGATTTCGTGATTTTACGAATTCCGATCATGGACCTTCCTTATTGCACCGTTCCTTATCGATGAAGTTTTTTCAAAGATAAGATTATATTGTGTGCACTGATATGAGCCAAAATAATCACTTTTCTGGGCCTTGTGGAGTATCTGTGGGTTTATAATTGAAACTGGTGGACAAATTTTGAGTTTATGAATTCACTTGTAGTGTATTGGATGGAATATTTGATTTGCAAATTCTAGAACCCCAAATAAAAATAACGTGTTTCATGCTGAATATAAGTCCTGTCTAATTTTATTTCACTACAACAACCCACCAACCCACTGTCAGGAGCATTCAACGACTTTTTTTGTAAAATTCGTCACCCCAGCCTACAGCTCAGATATAGAGGATTCCCTTCATCGTGATTCAAAAACGACCTGACAAAATCGGTGCCTGTCTAACTGTCACGTAATGTCTGACAAAAATATTAAAAATATGCTTTTGAATGCCCAGATGATAAAGGATTCATAGGTAGTGACATGCTCCACATTGATTGCTGCTGCTCTTTAACCTGCACGGAAGGTGTCATTCGATTTCATTCCGTTCGAAAACCCCGAGGATTATTATGCAATCTGTTATACTGCTTCCCCAATCTAAGCAATGAGTGTTTCCGATTTGCCTCACGTGGCGCTGCCATGCCAACATCATGAAGCCTCTAACCCAATTGGCCAGCCCTGCACGTGATGATTGGCCATTACTCTAACCCTCCCCAGACACTAATGCCTCTGAGTTAGCGGTTGTACACACGCATACTATTATACAGGTACATGCATCTATATAACTGCGTGTGAATCAGTTAAATATTTGCTCTCGTAATCAGGAGATGGACTACGACCTATGTTACCAGGGCAACGGCAATGCAGCCAGACCCATGAACGTGGTTCGCCCACTTGTCCCTATGATTTTTTCCACCAATTGCTCCGTTAATGTGGCACCAGAGAAAATGTGTGTGAGGGACTCGATCGAATTCGAATTTGCATGTCCACACACAAGAGAAGAGGGCAAAGCGTCATTTGGCAAACCTCTTGTGCTGGGAGATAACGACAATTGCTCGGGAAAACGTGAGTTTCTAGTTGCAATATTTTTGGTTTCACACTCACTCGAAAGTCCAAAACGTCTGGATATTCGTTACTTAATCATAAGTAAGAATAATTCATTTAACCAACATCGAGCGGGCTTTCATTTACTACGCTTTTTGGAGAGTTTTTTCTAGTGATCTGCAATTTTACACTACTAGTAACTATGCTGGCCTCATTACTACGCAACATTGTCCATCTACAACGTGGTATTTTACAGATTGTTAAGAGGTTTCATAAAACGGTACATGTTCAGTCCATGTATGGAGTACCACGCACAACCTGAGCGAAGCACTGTTAACGCATAACGGAGAATGTTACCTCGGTCAAGTTTTTTCAGTTCTAAAAGTGGTTCATTAATATTTAAGGACTTTTGCTTACTTGACATTCACCTGTCAAGTTCTAATAGTTCTTTCAATTACTAACAACGCACTGACGTATCTTGGCCTCAGTGAGTTGTTTCAGATGGGGAATTTTTGTCTTTGAGCCTCTGATTGCCAGACGAAGTCCCACTACCGTCCTTTGGTTTAATTAAGAATCAAGGATAGCGCAATTAGAACAGGAAACTTACATTTGGCCAGATATGTCCTTTTAGAGCAGAGTACAATTTGCGTTCTTGTTTGTCTCATCTGTGAGCCAGATTCGAGTCCTTTGTAAACAGAATCCTGCTGATTGAAGTTTTTTCCCTCTAAGCCCTACAACAGTGGTCGAATCGGTACGAAAATTTAAAAATGCCCTTTGTGGACATACAAATTCAAACGGAATAATTGTTTTCTCATCACTATCTTCGTGGCCATCAACTAACTTTTCATTCATAGGTTGTGTTAGTTCTAGGCCTTACATTTTCGAACCACTTAAAGTAATTTTTCACTTGCTCCCGGCTACATACCGCACTTACGACTAATCGCCTTCTGTAGATGTGGATTTAAGGAACAAGTGTCATGCCAATGCTGTTTAATTAATCCTTCACTACATTTTGCATCATCAAGTCTCATTAAAATTATGCAAGTTTTATGTGTGAGCGATGTGAGCAGAATTTTCATCCACTAGAAACGCCCTTCAAACATGTTTCTCTAAAAGTTTACCCCGGAAATATCATGCACTGAGTCATCCGGTCAAAACTCCAAATTTGAGGGCGGTAACCCCAGTTCCGAAACAATTTGGGCGTAACTACCAGACTCACTAAATCAATTGTCGATTAAACTGCTGTTTTGTTGAGTCGAAAATGCCCCGATACTCAGTTCTTCAATGGTAGGTTTAATGCGTGCACTTTCGAGTGACCTCGTAATGTTATAGGAAATTTTACAGTGCTCCAAAACGCTGCCACGCTAGTTATACAATTAAACCCTAAATGCGATCACTTGTTTAATGACACCTATCTGAAGAACTCTTAAAAACTAAACCAAACCACACGTGGCAAGGAGGTGAATGATTTGTAGTCTGATTTTTAAATGATTCACGATTATTTCATTATCGCTACCGGTTCAGGTATCGCAGTAAACCCATTGACATTAAATAACTTCTACAATCCCATCTTCATGGTCTCAACTCTTCTGTTTTTTTTTCTGCATCGCCTCATTCCATGGCGTTATGTGATTTAAAGTTGCCTCTGCAACGTGTGATACTGTTGTATCAGATTGCTAACACCATATTTTAGCAAACAAGCAGTAATGACTTGCAATATTTATAAGCTAATTTTTGCTCCAAAACCTAAACACTTTGTTAAGTAATGTATTAGTTTCATAGAATGCTTCGTATGCTAATCATCGAATTATACGACACCAGTGATTCTGTCTGACTTGTTTTGGTGATGTCAAGGAACTTATTGTGAAACATCAGTGTGCTATAATAGTACTCTAGGCTTTCTGAAGCTGTTTTATGGGAAACGAGCTAACTACCTAATCGTATCATCGTAGGGTTTCTGTGAGGTTCGATCGACATTTGGGACCACTGACCAAATGGCTATTTCTGACTAAATATGCTGCTAGTGCTGCTGTCTTTCTTTATGACAGGGAACAACCGAGTTCTATGTAAAATAAGTTGCCAAAAAAACAACACTGAAATTCTATTGGGAATGCAAAATAATATTCACTTGTAGTGATAAATTAACACCGTGTTGAAGTGCTCGCATTACAATTGGAGGTTTTGCACCTATGGCTGGCTTTTAAATCAAAAAAAAAAGATTATGCCAGGGATATTTCGAAACTTTTACGCTCCTCTCTTCATAAATTTATAACTTTTTTATTATGTGTCAATATTAGAATGCTCAAGTAAAAGAGAGTAAAGCCAGATGAATCACACTTCGAAATTCCGGCTTTGAAATTCGATAAAATGCTATACTTTTAGCTGTCTGGATGAAATGAAGCATGACAGTATTTCAACCGAATACTTCACAATTATAATTGAGCTGACTGATTATCTTGTACCGGTAGTTTTTCAAACGTCAGGCTTTGGTTTAATTGGGCATTTTTTATGGGAACATATTTGCAGTAACTAGCTATGCTTTCTCCTTTGCACTCTCGCGTTTTACAAACCTCTGGCATTTCTAAAGCGTATTTGCAAAACTCCTACACAAGTGTACCTATTAACGACTGGTTTGAATAATGAAGCGTTCTGTCCTAAACTAGTTGCCACATTTTATACATAGAAACGCAATGCCGGTCCAAGTTGAATAATGTTTAAAGTCGACACAGGTAAGTGTTTGCTCAAATATAACCCCATTCTGGCATTTCAGTTTATTGCCATGGAAGGAGAGTGCTGTTGTTTGCGATTTTCGACAGGGTAGTTTTCACGAATTTTAACTAAAGACGTAATTTGGGAGTTTGAAGTTTTGGTTTCTAATGAATCCTCCTACAAAGCATAATAACAGACACCGAAAAAACGTCTTTAGAATGAAGAGCCCTGTGGCCTTTTATCTGCTGCGAATGCCATAAAGGTCGGTGGCTCTGTAAATTGTAGCATAATGATGGGACTTTGCAACCGCATTGGCTAATAAACTAGTAAGACCGAAAGTAGAAAAATTAAGTAAGTAGGCATTTAAAAGGAGCATGCGAATGATTATTTTTGGAAAGGCCGCTGGCATCGCAACAGAGTCCAAATCTGAACTTTAAGCTATCATGTGGAAATTCAGTATATGAAATAGATATTTTAAAATTGAGTAAACTAAGATGATATTGAGACGGTCACTCTCAAAAACCACGTCATCTTAAAGGACCCTTGTTTTGTGCATTGTTGAATTTTTATCCCTTTGAAGATAAGCCATTTTTGCCAGAAGCAAGCACCCAGGCGAATCCCAGTCTGCAGGCTCGTCGTTCGGCCAGACAGAAAATCAGCGACTCCGCTTGCGAGCGATACGCGCAGGTCGTTAGTCAGTTGGGGACACAACGCGCGGTGTGTCAGGAGGGTCAGTCTTCGCAGCCGCGGCACCACAGCCCGCCAATCCGATTAGTCTCGTCTCCAAGACGAGTTCGCGAATACGACTCGGAGGGTTTGTCAAGGTTACCAGGGCTTGACCACTGCCAATTGACTCTGAGCTCCGTGGAAGAGATGACGCCTGAACAAAAAATATCCTCAAAACGAGGTGACTCACTTCGTCTGACTACTTGCCTCTGTTCATTGTTCTTTTTTCAGCTCCCACCTCGTCTTCAGCCAATCATGTCTTTACTTAGGGATTACAAAGAACTACCATTAATGATGGTAACTACTGAAGGAATTCGCTTCGGCGAATGATAAGCTGGACTGATGTCTTTCAGTGAGCTGTTATCCAGAGTAATAACTCAGGCTCCCCCGCCTGAATACCGCCACATTGCGAAGCACCCTTTCTACTTTGAAAAATTATGGGCTGCAATAAGGAAGCAATAAAACTGTTTTAAAGTAGTTTTGGATCAAAGTTAACTAGTGGATTAATATTTCGATTGACTTTGATAGTTTACTTGCAAATATCCTTGACACATGGCTTTACCATAGGATTTTGATCAATGTTACTTCTCTTCAAGTACATACTGAATAAAAAATACAGCATCATTATTTAACTGGAATAATTGTGAGTTGATTTGGGCTGCCAACCAAAACCACTGTTATTTGGGCCTAATCTATCCATTTTGCCTTCACCCAAGCCGTGGGTTTGTAGGTGACTTTGCTGTTATCGGATGGAAGTTTTTATTTCATTGGCATATTTAATTTACATGGTTTGGTCTTTTGCATTAAGGAGAGCAAGAGCATGTGCAAAAAAAGACTTTCACAAACTGGATGAACACGTATCTCAGCAAGGTATTAATTACAAGTCTTTTATGGCACATTAGGTTTACAACTTTCGGTTTCATAATGCCCTGGATTTGCCTTATTTAGATAAACCCGCCACTACAAGTTAATAACCTCTTCGAAGACATCAAGGATGGAATAATTCTCATCAGACTGCTGGAGGTCTTGTCTAAGGAGTCATTAGTTTGTTCAAATTTGTACATATATCATTTGGTTGTTTAGCCCGTGAACATAGCCACCGCTATGAAACCAGCTCATCGGTTAAGTAACGTAAAAACCGCTTTGGATTTCCTTAACACTAGAAAGGTAGGCCTCTTTCAAATTGTATTCCGGTTGAAACCACTCCCTGATTTTGATATCAAGGTTTTGATTTTCTCAGATTAAACTTGTGAACGTGAATCCCTTAGATATCGTGGACGGTCGGCCCAAGATTGTTTTGGGACTAATCTGGACAATCATCTTGTACTTCCAGGTAGGCAAACATCCCTTATTGTTTCCACACCAGGATGATGCCCAACCACTTGGCCTTGCTGTATGAAAATCCCAGAAAGATTAAGGTGTATGTGGAACTGTTAAAAGGCCGATAACTTCACAACTGATTCTTTTGACTGTGATTCTTTAAAATGCCCTGTTGTTCCTCAATTTGCTTTAGCTTTCCAAGACAATTGAGGCTGTTTTATATAAGGACTAAATGCTTAATTCCTTGAGTCATTAAAATTGCCTGTTTCAGATTGAAGAACAAGAAGAAATGCTACTTGAGCTCCTCGGATTATCAAAATCAACCGGACAAAGTAAAATAACTGCAAAACAAGCTCTCACCACTTGGGTCCAAAATGCCTTCAGCCAGTAAGTTGTTGCCTCACACCAAAGCGAGGTGGTCTTGCTTGAGAAGTGTTGTTTCTCATTCACTTCGTGAATTAAATTGAAAATCACTATGTGGGAAAATCCAAAGAAATTAAACGGATACGTAATGATAAAATTGTGAGCGCTTATTGTTTATTTTTTTTATTACATTTGCTTTGGCTACAACTGATTTCTAATAAACGAAAGGCACGTATCATCTTATTTGAAACTCACGCAGACCGACAACTTTTCTTAGCCGAAGGTCCATTTGGTTTGGTATTAATGGGGTCGCAGTGGCGTTAATCCCCTGAAAACACAACCCGACTTGCGAAATAACCGACGCAGGCTTCTGCGGGTGTGCCTCGTTTTATAAAAGAGACCAACTTTCTATGAAGAACAATAAATTTTTTTATTGGTGATGGACATGGCATAGAATAAAATGGCTTAGAAGTGGTGCATCAAGAAAATCCGTGTGAACATTCGACAAAATATGTAGGCCGCCTCAAACCCACCAACCAACAATAAGTCACCATATATTGGTAGTGGAAAGTGAAACAGCCTTCTGCCTTTTAATTGCATAGACGAATAACGCGCTACAGGTAAGAGACAGCCCACCCTTGCCTCCTCCCAACGCATTACTCTAACTGCTGCTGCACTCTTTTGGTGTCTGAAAGTTACTCTTATGAGTTGACTGATTGCCCGTAGTAATTGCCAACGATTTGAGTAAAAACATTTCTTTTTTGTGGAGGAATGTACACAAGACTTGCCGCTGGCCCTGTGTTTTAACCAAGTCAACTAAGTTTTCCTCAACTCTGCAGTGTGAATGTGTACATTAGCTATTAACTACGAGGCCATTAGAAGAGTTTTTGGATTTGCCAAGCATCGAAAGTAGTGAGGTAAGAAAATGTATCGATGCTACTTATGAATTGTAAATAATTTTACATTTTCGCGCACATTTCGCTTCCCCCAATTCGCCTATCTAAGCACTGCTATTTAAGGCCAAAATATTTACGATCTTGGTGAACGTAAGGTGTCTTGTTTGTCTTCATTTCAGGCAGTTCAATCTCCACATCAACGACTTCGGACCAAGCTGGCGTGACGGCGTGGCATTCAATGCCATCGTTCATAGCATCGACCCTAACCTGGTGGATATGAAGGACTTGGAGAGGAAAAGCAATCGAGAGAACCTGAGCATGGCCTTCACTGTTGCAGAAGAGAAGTTGGGGATTCCCAAAATTTTGGATCCTGAGGGTATGACGTTACTGATTTACTAAAACGGGTTTCAGAGATTTGTGGTTTCGCGAAAGAGAAGGGGTTGACCTACTACCTGGACTCACAGCAGACGTGTGTCTTACTTGCAGACCACCGCCTGTACGCCAAACGGAGATTTTAGTTTTCGCTCCACTGGTTGGAGATTGTCTCCCGGCACTGAGTGCACGAGTTTAAGTAATTTGTTTCTGCCTTTAGGGGTTCCTGTAACAAGGAGCACCACTTTGCTGTAATGCTAGTTATCAAAGTAACCATACTGAGTGGTGATTGGTAGGGCTTAGGAAGGTGAACCATTTCGTAATTTCGTGCCAGGCAAAGGACTTAGAAACGGGGACGTTATAAAGCACAGCCATGTTCTCATAAAACATGGAACACCTGAGTTTTGGGGTCAGCGCATGAAATTTAAATGACGTTTTTGTCTTTATCAAATATTTCAGTGACTGTGAGATTTCAAGTTGTGGGATGCATCACATATGTGGCATCGAAAAAAAACTCTCAAGTAACAGCCGCAGTTTGAACTGACGACGGCTTCGTGCAGCTGCTACTTTAATGAGTTGTTTTTAGAATGGTTGTTTATGCAGTCAGTGCTTCCACTAGTTTCTACCAGATAAAAGGTCATAACCCTCTTGCTACGTCTTCGTCTTCTCTCTCTCTCTCTCTTTCGTAGATGTTGATGTTGATAAACCGGATGAGAAGTCCATTATGACCTACGTTGCGCAGTTTTACAAAGCCTATCCCGAAACTGGGAAACCGAAAGCCCTTGTGAGTGGACGTCATGTTTTTCTTTGTGACTCGAAGTTAATTTTATGGTATTTTGCCGTTTTTAATATAAAGACGGAATCTGTATTTAAAAAGCATCTGATTCTTCGTTGTCGTGTTTTTAGCGATATAGTACTTAGAACCTTTCAGTAGAGCTCTTTCCCAATTTTGAGAGGGCATAATACGTTCCCTGAAAATCCGACCTTCATCAGCATTGTAGCTTGTGCAAGGCAGGTTGCTAACCTATAGATTAGCTTTGTCTGACATAGCTCTCAGGTGCTTAATAAAGGACCATTCAAAATTTCGTTCATCTCGGCGACCTAGTTCCTCTTTAACTAACAAATTCTTCCGCTTGTAGACCGCGAACGAACGGGAACAGAAGCAGTTTACGGATTTCCTCGACACCCTTCAAATAGCCGAAAGTCAAATAACACAGTATTTTCATCAAAACGAACCATTCAGAAATGCGTATCCAGTGAGTGTTTTTCCACCCCTTCCTGTTCATGAAGTTTAATTTGTGTTTTATGACAGCCTCTTAAAAAGAAAAATTACCCGCCATAACAGGTTTACCAGGCTGCAGTTGATAAAGTTGACGAGTTCAGCAGCTTCCTTGACGTGCTGCGAGGACGCGCCGACAGCGGCGCCCTGGTGGGCGGTCGGTTTAGCCCGCAGGCGGGCCTGGACGCGCACGCACACCTGGCGCGCGGGCTGCGGGCGTGGCGGTGGGCGCTGCTCGAGCGGCTTCCCGGCGAGCTGCGACCCTCGGGGCGTTGGATCGCGGCCGCGGAGAGGTGGTTCGACCGGGTCGACGCCAAGTGGAGTCGGCGTGGCGAAGGTGGAGTGCCACTTCCTGCGGAGATGGAACAACTTAACGCCTTGACCGACGAGCGGACGGTGTGTTTACCTTACACGCTTAGGAAAATAATTTCCTAAAAAAGCAACTCGAGCTTTTGCGGACAATTTTTTGTAGTTCCAGGTCTCATAAGGTGACTTGATCATACATTTTCGGTCGCAGAGTGTACAATTTTAAACGAGCGGCACCATTATCAAAGAGATTGGTTTATGAATTCATAAAGTGAGTAACAAATAGCAAATAAGTCTGTGGGCATTTTCACCCCCCAACCGCCATTATCACCTTTAAAAGTACGTCGATGCCCCCTCCTGCATGCAAATTTGCAATACCTAGCTTTTTGTATACAACCTGAATCATGCACTTAAATATTTTGGTGATTCTCATAGTCCTCATTTACATCATGCTTTAGACAAGGAAGAATTCAATATTACTCTTTTTCGCTTTCCAGAGAGTTTTTGGTTCTGATTTTGCCGTTATTGCGTCGGAAGCAGCAAGGCTACAAAAATTCTTGTCGAAGACCGCGCCAACCGAAGTCCCTGAGAAAATGGCTAAAAGCCTGGCCAATAGTATGGCCACCATTGAAGAAAAAAAGGAAGGCTACGCTGTAACCTTGGAGGCTTCCACTTGCTACAGAACTGCCATAGATGTCTCCGAGGCCTCGAATCTCTCTGCTCTTATTGAGGAGTGGGTAGAACTAGTCTCAGGCAATAAGCTGAACGAAACGCCTGCGGCAGTTACGACCGCACTTGATTCGTTCGCGGTAAGGAGGAAACCTTACTTATCTAATATCCACTAGTTCTTTGATTACCAGACTGTCTTATTACGATGGAGGGAAACCATGGGGCACTTTCATTTTTGTTTGCTGAAAATCACTTAATGCAAATAAAACAACTGAAGATGACTGCAACCTTCCTCAAACCACCTATTTCAGGCACTGGAGGAAAAATTTGCCCTCTCTGAGACCAAGGCAAGCCCCGTGGCGGAACTTGCTAGCATCCTAAGCACAGTAAAACGCCTTGAACAAGCGCGCAAACCTCTTCCATCTGGCATGACCTCAGAAGTAGTTGGATATTGGCTCGACCGCACCACTGATTTCTTTCAGCCAACCTCACTGGCAGGTTTTTCATTTTGGGAGCTTGGCCAGAAACTGGAAGAACGTCTGCAAGCCTGGGAAACTTACGAAAATTTACTTAAGGAGGCTACCGTAAGAATTTGTTAATTAGTTCCACTATTCACATCAACACCTTGATAGGAAGAGCCGCATCTAAGCTGCCGACACTCGTAAATGACTGGGAGGAAAAACCTCATAGCACATTCACTCTCCTTCCTAACAAAAGAAGCAATTGTTTAATAATTTTATTTTAGTCTTCCTGGAAATGTAATATTTCCATCACCGAAATCCATCTGTGTCCTGTGTCTCCGTCTTCGCATTCTATTTTGGCACCACCTCATTTGAGAGTGTGAAAATTAAGCTGATTAAAGGAGGAACTTAAAATGTTGTGTGCTGTTTTCGCCCACCATATTACCTTGGCGCGGTTGTATTTTCATTTTCGATCTAACTACTGTATGAGCTAACTTAGATGAATCGAGCATCCCCTTAATTTTCGAATATGCAAAACTGACGGAATATGTATACAAGTACATGTGGAGACAGGCCCCTTCACTAGAAACGCAAAAGACTGCTCCTGACGAATTCATTCTCCAGGGCTTTCCCATAGAATCTGCTTTTCATTTCCATGCTCACAGTTGCCTTTTCCTATTACCGTGTTATACGCTAACCACTTTTTATCACCTGTTGTAAGTTAATCCACGAAAGATACGTTTTGTTGCTGGGCGAGGAAAGAAATAGCAATATATGGATTACAATTCACTAAACCACATGTAGAGTTGGAAGGTCGCGCAGAGCAAGGTCTATCGTTCAGATTGAGGTCATCACTTCGAAATAGACTAAACCCCTTTTTAACTGTCCGAAGACCAGGAGGACGACCCAGACTAACGTTTGGTGAATCTTTACCGATCTACGTCCATTAGCGAGGTTGCCGGAATCTCGGCCACACTTGCTTTCTTTTTACGGCGTCGCTGCCTGCCATGAAAAGCCGTCTGCCCATACACTCACTCTACGTGTGCCCTCCCCCTCGCCACCTGTTTCATTCCTCCAGCCGTTTAGCCATTTGTACTTTTACGGATCCACTCAGACAGTGTTGATCCACAATTCCATGCAATCGGACACGATTTTTTTATGCCCAGTTGGTCGACGGACACAACAAGGTTGAGGTGCCATCACTTGTCTATTTTGGTATCGGAGTCGAGCAGTCAGGCTAATTCAACACAGCGGTACTAGTAAAAGTGCATACGTCGGAATGGTCACATGAATAAATCGGGTAGTGGTGGTACATGAAGAAGGGTGAATAAGCCGACGGTAACGCGTGACTGACAGCCACGTCGTGGTAGGGGTGGGGGTGTGTGTGTGTGAGGCTACAATGACTGGGTTACGAGACGCGGGTCAACACGATTCACTCCAGTGGGATCAAGGGGCTTGAAAGTGATTGTGTGGGAAGCTATGTTCTTTGACTTCAATCCAGTTGATCAGTTCTGGATTAAAACTGATAGAAAGGAAAACGCAACCTTTGGAAGTTATTGAGCTACCTTTCAGTGACTTGTCGCTAACATTTCACCACATCCCTGTTTAACGTTTCCAAGGGTGTTAAAAATTAATCAAGCTTTTCTCAAAGCTAAACGAAACTGTGACTTACGGAAATGTAAACCAACAGATATTTGTCAACTAAGCTTGCTTACTTCATGAACAGGTTTGTATACTTTTCCATGTTAAAAAAGTGCAACTACGGACTTCACATTAAAATAAGTAATTTTTTCCTCACATTAACTTTTTACGCCATTCTAGACGCAAATGGAGGCAGTTTTCAGTGACTTGCATCAAAAGCAATTACAAAGTACGACCTATGACCTTGGGATAATCGAGGACGTGCTCCGAAAATTGGAAGTTGCAGCGAGCACGTTGGGAACGCTGGAGCAACTGAGCTCGGTGGAGGAGTCTCGTCGGCAGTTCGAGGAGCTCAAAGAAGCCGTAGGTTCTTCTGCATGCATTGACTGTTCACGTCGAAGTGGAATGCGGTTTCCTGGTGGCGGGGTCTACGACACCTTTGTACTTTTTTACTTTCAACTCTAACTAGCGTGTACAATAGAACCAGGACACTCGCTACAATGACTGACGTAAACCCACTCACGCATTCTTTTGCCCAAAATTTACATGAAGTCACCAATTCTCGTCACCTGCTACAATGCGTTACAGGACATTTATTTCTTTTTCTATTTGCGCCTTGAAGAAGCGAGCACAAATCAGCCGTAAATGTGAGACGCCGGTGCTTTTAGTTTTTTTTTGTTTTTAATTTTGTTTAACCTTATCCGTTAACGCCAGAGGAATAAAGTGATATCCAGTTCACGATTCACCTTCTCGACTGGTTGTGCATAGTTCATAGCCCCTTTCTGGGAGTCTGTTCAAGTGGTCCTCGTCGAAACCAGTCGGGCGATCGGAAAGGAATGCGTTTTTTAACCGAAGTCGCCGTTTTCTAAATTTAGCGAGGGATTTTCGTGCCGCTTGTTCAGCGATGACGCTCAACATTCTCGAGAGAGGAGGTAGCTTTAGCTCCATTACTGAAACATGAAAACATAAATAGCTTCAAAAACATGGGTTTTGTAAATATCATATGCCATTATTGGAGCTAAAAATATTGTTAATTTTACTTTTGAGGAAGGCACTGGCTATTCAAACATTTTTTTTCCAAAATAAGTAAAATTTCAGTCTAAAAGAAGGAAATGCCTTATGCCTCAACCTAATGCAAACCATCGGTTCTGCTAAGGAGAATAAGTATATTACAAACATAGAGAAAGTACAATAAGATGCCAACCTTTTGTCTACATTATAGCAGCTCTTTTTGTTTAAACAACTTATGCAAACCAAATAAGCCCTTTTATGCCATGAGTAAATGCTTTTTAACTGCAGATATCCAAGAAAACACATGAGGAATTATCGTTAAAAGAAGAAGCAGAAAAGACACAGAAACGGTTTCTTGAAGTACTTCAGAGCATTGCGACCTGGAACATCAAAGTAAAAGACTTACTGTCCAACCCCGTTCTGGCACCCAGTGAGTTGGGTCAAAACATCGCCTCAATCGAGGATATTCTGGCAGAAACCGAACCCGTAAGTACAAAAAATTCCTACTTAATCATTCTTTGCCATTCATGTCTCTCCCAAAGACGGATCAACCACTTACACTGGCATAGGCATAGTTGACTGGGTTCGACCCTCCATCAAGACCAAATAACAGATCGAAACAAAACCCTTCCACTAGACCACCACGGCCCAATACACAGTTGTGTCACAGACTTCGGTCGCCACCGAGTCGGGCCAGGACGGGTAGCGTATAGTCAGGCTGTGGTGTGCGCAGCGAGATAAAGTGTCTTGAGAGGTGTCTATAAGAAGGAAGCTGGTAGTCGTGGGAAACCGCGAGCCGCACAGGACCGTGGGTCGGTGCTGAATTTCTTTTTTCTGGACAGCAGCCACTTCTCAGTAGTCTTCAGCAGCTATCAAGTTACTTTTTAGAAGACGACAAACAGACTAGGACGCAAGAAGATAATGACAATCCAACAATTTGAAAAGGCGACGTCGCTTTTTGATCTACAACGTTACGCAACGTTTTATCTATAACCCAAAGCGTAAATATGAGCAAACCTGCATGAAAACTAAGTGTTTTCACTTTAATTCGCGGGGAATAAAGGCATATGTTCTTGAATTGTGGCTGTTTTTACTATGAGAGTCGTGCTAACAAGGTGATTTAATAAATGCCTGGCCAGAAAGCCGTCGAATTAAAAAAGTTTCATCACTTAAATCGATTCTATTTGTTGTTTAATTTTCCACTTAAATTCAATTAATTCCGTATTCTGTAGTCATTGTGATCCCGTTAAGTGTCATAAGCTGTTTAAGAGCTATCTTTTTCTGTATAATAGAAAATTTATTTGATAGAGGTCAGTGACTAATCTCTTGTCCACCACCTCCCCTATTCACCAAGCTTGATGAACTGCTTCAAGGTGTGGAACAAGCCAAACCGGAAACCCTTGTAGACTCACAGATTGAGGAAATGGACGCAGTTACTGCGGAATTTTTCCAGCATCAACGAACGCTCGAGGGACAACTGGAAAATCTTCAGCAAATTCTGGCAAAACATGATCAAATAAATGATATCTTTTCTCAACTCGAGGGCCAAACTCAGAACATCACCGAGGTAATGGATTGTCTCCCTTTAAAAAACCACGATTTGTATTTAAGCGCATTTTAACTTAACGTATGCTTTTTGGTGTTACTCATGCTGCCCTAATAAACTATGAATGTTTCTTTGGGATTTTGATAATCGAACGGAAGCATACAACATGACTGAAGAAAAATATTCCTACTCACTTTCTGAACAGCCGATAAGTCAAGGTGGTAGTGGAAACCACCTTTACCACATCAAACTGCACTCTTTTAAAAAAAATGGAGCCGTAAACACTTTCATAAAAATCTGTTTACAAAACTGGTGCATTCAAATAAAGGACACACGAAACAATGCCTTCCGACCCTTGGGCTCAGAGGTAGATTAAACTTCAGCAATTACGCATAAGTAAAAATACAAAGTTTTACTTTTAGGTCCCCACCAATGAACGTGAAGACACCTTCACCAAAGGCCTTTCCGACCTCAATACTTTAATCGGTGAACTTGAGAGCCTCTTGCGATCGGCTCCTGTTAAGGACTATGTTCGCAACCTCAGTTTTCCCGACTTCAGGCAGAGAAAAAATGACCTTATCGAAGCATTGGAGGTAAGCCCTGTTTGGGACCTGAGGAAGCTCAATAATTATTTTTACAGCACCAACATTTTTAAATATTGTTGATGGCAACTGTAGGCCTTAAGTACTCTAGATAGCTTACCCAAATTAGAGTTTTAATTTCCGTCACTTTACAACTAGCTTGCACGAACTGAATTTCTTTTAAAGGAATTCAGTCTTAAACTTACTCAAAGTTAATTTGTCTATTGTACGCAGAGCCTTCAGACGAAGCATCATGAGATCGTTCAAGCTCAAGAAGAGTTCAATCAGGAGGTAGAGAAAACCAACGCTCTCACCATTGAACTATCAAGGTACTTTGATGCCATCGAGTCTGATCTTGAATCGACCGATGTGAGCGTCGTGAAAAGGGGCCTAGAGATGTTCGAGGTAAAAAAGCTTATTTAATTGGTGTCGAGTGAAAGGACTGGCCATTGTGATGCCTTTATGTTCATAAACTTGGTTCATAGGATTTGAGTACGACGCTTGACGAAAGGTTACCGAAAAATTTAGAACGTCTACGGGAAACGGAGAAAAGGCTCTTGCAGTGTTTTTCGAAGACCTCAAGTCAATTGAAAGAAGACGTCTGTGAAAAAGTTGGTTTAAATTCAATGATCCTGTGGTGCTATCCTACATTCGGGTTTTGCTAGGGACGCATTTTGATTTCAGGTCAAGGAGCTCGAAAGCAGACACCTCAACTTGCTTGGGAGAAGGAACGCCATTGAGAACCGCAGTCGTGAAGCAACAGCACAACTACGAGGTTTCACGGACCTCACGGAGGTTCTCACAAATGTAATCGAACAGTGCGAGGCAAAATTGCCGGCACTTCGAAGTGGCCCGAAATTTCCAACAAAGCCAATTCGTATCGAAATGGAGCAGACAGCAATCTGGTACTCAGGTTGTGAGGTACACCCATCCGATTATCATGTTTTGATGCTAACAAATGTTGTTAAATGAGCCTCTACCTTTTCTTATTTTAGGAACTCGTAAATCTTATTAATTCATGTGAGGAGGAATCTACAAACTTGGCCGCTCTTCTCTCACATCCCGAACTAAAGCCTCCAGCCGGGTGTGCGGAAAAGCACGAAAAATACTTAACTCTCCGAAATGAGGTGAACGTAAGTTCGACCCCTTTGTAGAAATCCTTCAGACTGCCATCTGACTGAATTGAAGCATTTGTGGCAGAACATTAATTTGTGTCACACAATTAAGACTTATCAGACATAAAGCATCAATTTAATGTCTGACAACTGGTGAACTGCATCGTAATAGTAGCATTTAAACAATTCAGACGTTGAGTTCTTTTCAATCAAAACAGGTTAAAGTAGTAAACTTATCAACGCGTACTTCGAATTATTCAATCGACATCCTGTAAATAGAAGCTGATAATGTGGAGTGATGCCGAGTCGTTTTAAAACAGATGTCAACAGCCTCATTAAGCCAAAGATGTTTGGTGATTCGAATTCGTAGAAGTGAAGAACTTATTGTCTGATGGAGTATATTTGCACTCGAGACAGCAAATGCTTTCAATCAAATACAACTCGGCAATTCCAGCGGTCTAAAACGAGCCTGTATTTTGCTGGCTTTAGGAACTCTTCACTTGCGCAAAGGTCTTCAATGCAGACGTCGTTTTCTTCGTAGAAGGTGTGCAAGAACTAGAGCACTATCTTCAGAGCATCAAGTCACCTATTGAAGGGAAAGGCGAGGAAATCCATTTGGGTTTGAGCTCGTCGTCTATCGATCTCTCAAAACGGGCAAAGGACATTGAAATTCAATTTCAGATGGAGGCCAAAACTAAAGTTATCCTCGATGGGATGCAGGAATGTGTCACGAGGATAACAGAGACCAGCTTTCCCACTGAAGTTGCTCAAAATTTTTCGAGGGAACTGGAAGCCTGGAGAACGAAAGTGACACATGCCTTTTCTTCGCTTCGTGAGGAACACAACGAGGTATCAGCATTCTTCATCTAAATTATCTTTATTTACAGTCATATTAGATTCTTTTGCAAGGAGAAGAATCATCATTTTTGGTAAACTTTCGCATTGCAGAAATGTTTACTTGACTCACTCCAATCAGATTGTCTTCGTTTGCAGCAAACGGTCTTGATTGTTGCTAAACAATGACAGTGAAGTTTCTGCGCTGAGCGTTACATAGGTCTAAATCACAGTTGATTCCTGTTTATAAGGTAGTCAATAAAAGGAAACATCTATTTGCTAGCGAGGAGTGGATCTATGCACAATGTTTAGGCTCGCGGTGATGTAATCATAGACTACTTACGGCAATACTTTTTGAAAGTGAACACTCCATGAAAACCTTACACTTTGAAATAGTAATTTCTGGTTGTAAAGAAGAGGATTGACCAAACCACTGAAAATTTTATTGCTTCAGTTTTGGAAAACCGATTTGACAGTGGAGCGAGGCAGCTGCACGTTAATTTTGGCCAATGTGATTGGGTAGCTCGAAGTTCATAGTAGGTTTTGAAACGAGGTTTATTGCTTGAGTCAGTCTTAATTTCATATTTCAATCCTCCATTCCAGATTTTGAATACCCTGCGAGAACTATCTGAATATGAGGACAATCTCCAAGCTTTTGAGAGTCGACTGTCCATCATTGAAGAAAAAATGAAACAACCTAACCCTAATGCAATAACAATTGCCGAGAATCTTCGGCTTCTAGAGAATCAGTTCCTTTGTCTGACCAACATTTTTAACGAACTCACTTCTGCCGACGCGATACGCAGCCTAAACATTCTCAATACGAAAGGTGGACCTCCCCATGGGTCCCTAGGTGACAGACAGCGGAACCTCAGGGCTCGTTATGATGCGGCCATCAAATTCGTTTCTCATGAGCGTGATCAACGTTCCAAGGGAATTGCAATGTGGAAAGATATATCCTCCGGTGTTAGCGCATGTAATAAATCTTTGGGTGAATTGGAAGAGAAATTAGAAAGATTAAACGATGATTTAAAAACGAATGGTGATCAGGATGTTTTTGTGCTCAAGGACGCGGTGCAGAAGTCTATCAGAATGTCGATGGACGGCCAACGAATACTCCAAGTACGCTTTTCTGTGTATTTTCTTGAGAGAATCTTGTTCAAAGTTTCGTAATTATTATACAAAGGGTAGCATATTTGCTTACTAGATTGACCCTAAAATACGCTGGAGATAATGACTGTGAAATTATTCCACTACGTTCCAAGTAAGTTCTATGCTTTAATGTAACCTAAATCAAAATGGGGCTATGCCGCAAACGACCCTTTTAATTCTTCTTTAGTGACCGAGGCCTGAGGGCGACCTTACTGACGTAACCTCTAGAAGTTCACATCTCGAGTTTTCATGAATGTGGTATCCCGCATAACCAGAAAAATCTAACATCCATAAGTGCTGCAATGGCGATCAACTACTGTGTTTAAGTAGACAAAAGTGGCAGTTGCCTTTGGGTTGTTTAAGGAAAAGTTAAAAATGTAGCTTTTGTGATATCATACTGGAGATTTGTTAGTCTAGAAGCGTCTTTAGCACAAACGTTCGCCTTTGCCTTTTAGGAGGCGAGTGATGCCTTTGCAGTGGTCAACAAACGAATTCTACAGCTACAACAGCAATTTCCACAAGATGAGACCTTGTTGGAGTTAAATGAATTACTTGAAAGGAAATCAAAAGCACTTGCAACGAAAGAGGATCTAGAAACACGTGTACGAAGAAAGCATTTTCTATGGGTCAAACTGCAAGAAACGTACAAGGTCTTTGACCATAGCCTTGAACAAATAACGACAGACATGAAAAATTGCTACCCAGAATATCCCACCAGTTTCCGCTCTCGCCAAATAAAGCAGCTTTCAGAAGCCGTTGAATCCATGCGTCAAAAGGAGAACAAGTGCATTAAGTCTATGGAGAATTCAAAGGAAGCCATCACGGCGATTTTGGATCCAAAAGTGGTCGAATTACGCCTATTGTGTACTGATTTGGGCGAAAGCGTGCTTAAACTGCTCGAGTCGGAATTCGGTAGAGTAGCGAAGCTAAAGGCAACTTTTGACGAGGCATTTTCAAATCAAACTTCAATTATTCGAGGATCTGAAACGTTAGCCTTAAATTTCAAGAAAGCCATAGACATTCTAGAACAAACGAATTCAAAGATCGGCGAGCTGGTAAAGTGCAAGGCGACTGGAAGTCCTGAGTCGAAATTGGAAGAAGCTCTCTCCACTCAAGATTGGTTCAATCAGAACAGGCTTTGCATGTGTACTGAAGTTGCTTCTTCTGCGCAATTCCTCCAGAATGCTTACCATCCACCCCGTCAGCCTCCATCTCTCCTACCCAAGCTCCCTGACGCCCTCCAAGCATGCTTTAGTGAGGCAGCTGAACGAGTTGAACGAGCTTGTGCGGGTATACGGGCCAAGGTTACAGAGATTCACGACCTGCGTGACCGTCTGCACCAAGAAATGTCAGACATGAATGCAGAAATAGGCAAAATATCGGAGCTTTTGGAGCATGCCGAAGAATGTGACATCCCCACAGAACTTAGCGACTTTCAATCGGAAGTCAGCGAGTGCGAAGTACGTTATAATTCAGCTGCAAGTCGTCTTAAGAGAACGTGTACTCAAGCTAAAAAATTTGAATCAGGGGAGGAAATATCTGATCTTCTGCAGGATGCCTCTCGACTCCTTAATGAAGGACAAAGCGAGCTGGATAACCTGAAGACCACAGTTAAACAAATGACAACTCAATTCGATGCGTGCACAAAGAGCATTTCAGTCGCCCGTGAGGCAGTCGCCCATAATATTACTGCCATTCAACAAAATGTACACTACCGGCTGCCTGTCCTCACCGTGTCTGAGCTAGAGGAACGGCTCAGTCTAGTGAAAGAACTCATCAACGATGCAATGGCTGCGGAAGGTTCTCTCAGTGCAACGTCAGCAACAAATGAAAGCAGTTTACTACCTGCTTTAGCCTCAAGAGTTCAGGAAGCATTTCAGAAATCAAGTAACGTTTGCCATTCAGCCATCGATGATGCTCTTAGTCAATTAAAATGCATGCTGACTACCTATTTTGAGTGTTTGGATAAAGCACGCACATCTCTAGAGGGATGTATTCGGACTGCCAACAAATGGATGGCTGAATCTAAGGCACAAATTGAAACGTTCTCTAAAGTTTCTAAGGAACTCAAAAGCCTAGACCAATCAGCTCCATTGGAGTTTGACAAGACAGGTACCACAGCCCTAACCTCTCGCATGGAAAATTTACAAAAGGCAAAAGACATGGAGTTCACTTGGTTTACACTTCAAGTCCATCAAACCGAAAGACTTGAACGTGAAGCCAGTGCCACCATCACGAGTGGTTTTAGCCTTTTGTGTATTGATGAACTTAGCGGGCTAATGGAAGACATTCGAAAATACGTCGCCCAACTTAGAGGTGACTTGACCAAGGCCACTCATTTCTGGGAAGCACAGGTTTCTGAAGAACGTGAACTCAGACAACTTTTGTTGATGGCTCAAGCCATGTGTGATAGATTTGCCAAAGAACTGACTGATATAGATGCACACTATCAGTGTTGTTCAGCTCAAGAAGCACAGGAATTTCTTTCGCGTTTGCACTCACTAAAAGACCAAGTTAGCATTGGCGACGAGTTAGTATCTAAATTTCGCTCAACATCAAGCCTTGCCTCTTCGAATGTTTCCATCTCCCACTTTCTCTCTACGTGGGACACTCTGAGCAAACAAAAGTTGGGTTTGCTCCTTAAACGTGTTGAAAAAGTGATTGAAGAAGAAACGAGCAAAGAGAAGGAGGTTGTGTTTCTTCAGACCTGGCTAACTGACTTTCATCGTTCAATTCAGCAAGTAAGCCTCGACGCTGAGAGATCCCACGATGCTGCTGAGCTGAACGACCGACTACATGAGTTAAAAATGCAACTGAGTCGGTGGGAACACGAACACTTCATCCCATATTCACTGAGGCCGGGGGTGGAAGACAAAGTTGAGCTCCTTGAAAACCAAAGGAAAGCTAGTAAAGTTCAACTTGACAAACTCCTCAAGCTTGTTCAAGAGAAAGCAACTGCCCAAAAGCACACCGAAGAACGGTTGAAAGACTTGGCGAGAGAGGTAGATATTCTCTGCTCGGAAGTTGAAAACCTGTATTCTGAATCCTCACAAAGTCAGGAGAACTCTCAAATTAGAGAGATTTGTGCCAATCTCAAAAAGACTCGTGAGTCACTAAAGAGCCAATTTGTTCCGCGAATTGAAAATGCCTCCCTAAAATTGTATGCTCTGGATTGCGACGCCGCTGTCTACGCGAGCCTCAAGGGCACCTTAAATTCTTGTCGACAAAAACTGGAAGGAGTAAGGAGAGTTGTTGAGGATTTGGATGGTGAGCTTTCTACCCACCTCAATGCTTGGGAGGATGTTTCATCCATCTTCAGACAAATCGACCAGTGGATTAGGGAGAGTGAACATCTCCACCCGCGAGACAAGCAAGACCTCAGTGAACTGATAGTTCTCAGTAATGAGCCTTTCAGCAGTACAGAAACTCGGCGAAATATGCAAAGACTCGACAGAATTGTTGAGTGCAGACACCGAGAATACGCCGATGCTAAAAAGTGGATGGAATCATCAGAATTTGGAAGGGACCTACTGAAACAATTAAGTAATAAGGGCGATACAATCACAAGGAATAAAGGGACACTCGATGACCTTGTTAAATGTTACGCAAACAAGGTGCAGGAGAGAACCAACGAGCTCCTGGCAGAATTTCGGTCCGCCGAGTTGTCTCTTAACAAAGCTAAACAACTCCAGACCTGTGTGGGTAAATTGGATGCAATAGTCATCCAGTGTGAGCAATGCTCTACGGACGAATTGCTGAATAAACTAGTTGGGTCGGCGTTGGAGATTGTTGAAGCTGAAATGAAGCCGCTGATACAAGATGATTTTGAACTGCAAGGGCAGATATCACGAGCTGAAAGAATTATCCAAACACTTCGAAATTGGTGTCGAGAAAAGGAAGCCCACCACCGACTTGTGGCCGCCGAAAAAGAGTCCTTGAAGGTCTTGTTAGTGAATATGCGCGAATGGTTTAACCAGTGGTCCGAACGTTTCGAAGAAGCAAAGAGAACTTCGGACATAGAGTTGGCTTTCGTACTCACGTCTACAGGTTCACCCAGCAAGTTTCACTCATTTGAACATGTAATGGCTCTCCTCAGCCAAATACAAACAAAACGGAAGGAAATGGATGAAATTTTAAATAAATCAAGAGCCATTGAAGATAACGGTGAATTCATAGCCTTGGGTAACGACATCAGGGCCAAAGAGCAAACTGCAAATCATTCGACTTCGGGGCTGTCGGAGCGCTACGTTCGCGTAGAAATGCTGCGCAAAAACCTTCATGAAGTACAAGAGTGGATAAAAGCGGCTAAAGGTCGAATAAATTACACAAAAGTAAGTGCAAGAAGACACAATTTGAGCAGTTTATGGTTCAGTTTTCATGAAAGGTGGGGCGTCCGAGGTGGGACTCGAACCCACAATCTTCGGCTCCGGAAACCGACGCCTTATCCATTAGGCCACCCGGACGACGCTTTCCGGGTAGCAATTAAAATATAACATATACCATTTATGTTTGTAAAACTTAATTGAGGGTTGTTTGTGATCTGTTTGTACTGGCTTGCAGCTTACTGCCATTTCCTACAAAATTATTGTGCAATTTTTGCTGGTAGGGCTTCACAATAATTAAAACTGTTTGATTATGCAAAGCCAATGTGGATTAGAATCGGTTATATTGAAAAGTAATAACTTTTGCACCACTTTGAACTAAATCGACGACAATTTAGACCCTGAGCACTAATTTTTCGACCCTAACATTTTACAGGGAAAAAGAAATTTACCCGGAGCTTTCCCCTGGAAAGCGCAATTTCAATTTTTACAGAGCCTTGTCTTTTCCATTTGGCTAAATTTGTGAGAATTATGGCCTGCCTGATATATTTTGCAAGTTTTTATCCCCAAGGTAAATGTGATGGCGATTATTATTACTGACAATAAAGATTATGTGCAACAATTTAAATGACCACCAGTTCACCTTTCCATTTTATTAATTGCACAAAGTAGGTCTTCAAGTAAGAATTACTTTCTGTCATTTAGGTTGGTCAATCAGGCCTAATTTCAACGGCCAATCAGTATAATCACCTGGCATCAGAAGACCTCGACACAGTTGCATCAGACCTGAGGAAGAAATTAAGGCAAAGCTTGAATATGCTTCAGGCATCGATCAAAATTTCAGACGTGGAAGGTTCACTCCTTCATACGGCTCACGACGAAGTGGACAAAGCGGACCACGAAGTCGGTCAGATGTTAAGTGAAATTTCACAAGCCAAAGTGACTCTTGCGAATCACTCAGTCTTGGCAAATGGACTCGCTAAGTTGGTCGAACAGTCGGCAGATTCATTGGCAGCCAGTTCGTTGAGGCTGCGTGATCTTCTTCTCAGGTGCCTTGAGGGTGGTGCCAGCAAAAAGGATTCGACAATCCTTGCAGTTAACCTGTCTGCAAATAATTTGACACCCACTCTAAACCGTCTAGCCTCGGAGCTAATGAATTTGGACCAAATTAGTTGGCTTGACAGCACGGATATGCTTGTCCAGGAGCTAAAGGTAACCCCTTAAGCTTAATGAAACGCCTCCGACAGTTTGTAGATGCAGATTTAAAAGCAAACGCGCTTCAATTTAAACCCATGCTCGAACAGTGCAGCACACTACGAAATGAATATTCCGATGACTCACAAGCCAGTCGCGTAGATCAACTTGTTCAACAAAACGCACAGCTACTCCGATTATGTCAAGTGCGTATCCACTTAAAGTAAAATTAAAGAAAGTACCATAAAATGATGTCATTTGTGTTCTATTAAATAGGAACTCATCAACAGCTTTGAAATTGTAGCAGTACAGTACGTATCCTGGAGAAAAATTTGTCAAAACTTCATAAACGCGGTAGACAAGCAAAGTTCGGTGCTATCAAGATATGCAAATTACAACAGCAAATTCAACGAGGACGGCATGAAAGAATTAAACGTAAGCGACAATTATTTTCCGAAGTTAGGATACATGCAGTTGCAGAAGCAATATTTGGTTTCACTTTAGGACCTAGAAACGGACCTCAGTAATAGTGCTTTAATGCAGCAGGCCGTGGCAGAAGAAACAGAGAAACTGACGATTGCAGTTTCCCGAGCAGTAAGAGAAATTGAAATGGGCTATCAACAAGTGCCCGGAATCCAAATGCAACATCACACGAGATTCAAACAATCTTCACCGTACCCATGGCACGACAGCATCATGGGAGCAATAAAAATTCTACAGGAGCTCAAGAAATCGGTACCTATGGTAAGACTATAAGTCTACTTTTCGTTACACATTACCTCCTACTGGCAAAGTTTGAGTACAATGCTTGCATGGTTGTAGAAAATAGCGGAATTTGAGAGGCTGCTTGTGCAGCGGAGACAGTTGCTTAGGCGACAAGCAGATCTTACTGACTGGTTGGCGATCGCCGAAAAGGAAGTTGACGCAAGCATACACCAACTATCGAACCTACAATCGCATGAAAGCATCAACCAGGGGAGTTTAGAAGCTGACGCAGAATGGATGCATCACATTCGTCGCATGCAAGTACGTTCACGTGACTTGAGAGGCCAGTGCAAGTTGCGGGTCTCTGCCACCGAGGCCAAATTGCCTTGAATTTCCATTTAGTGTCTCGAATCAGAACTGGTGGAGAAGAAGAAGGAGGTGAAGGAGCTGGAGAGTATGTATATTCAGGTGCCTTCGTTGAGTGAGGGCTGGTGCCAGGCGCTGTCAGACGCCACGAATCGATTGAGCATGCTTGAATTGCACATCAAGGTGAGCGAATTGGTGTCAGTTGAAGCCGTAACCTTGAAGGCACTAAGTGCCCTACTGGCGCACACAATTGGTTGCGTTTCCTGAATTGTAACTTGGTGTTGCTCCGAGATGACAACATCGCATCTGGATTATAGGAGCATGTTGGGTTCCTGAACGACATCCAGCAGCTGCTGGAGAGCTTCAATCAGACGAATAGAGGTCTTGAGGAGTGGATTTCGCGCGCCAGAACAGTGGCTAAGGAGGCGCACCACAGCGGAGACCGGCCGAGTTTGGCCGAGGGAGCTGGCATGCTGGAGCAGTCGAGGCGCCTCGTCCACCGACTGGTAGCCATGGTGTTGAGCAGGCACCAAAATCGAGTGCAGTCGGCACTGGCAGGGAGTGCAGAGGAGATGCATCAGGCACTAGGTGGCTGCACCAGTCCCATCGCAGCAATAGCCCGAGGTGCAATAAGGAGGTTTGAGGATGCACGGAATGCATACGAGAGGCTATGCCAGTCGACAGACATGGTAAGTAAGTAAGTAAGCAAGGACGAGAGGAGTTGTAAGGAGTGCAGACGGTTAGGAGTGGAGTGAGCCATGAAGTGGGGATTGGGAAAAGAGGTGGAAGTCACCGCACGCCCACTGGGCCGCCCGACGCCCACCATTCACAGGCGCTATCCTGCTACTGCACCACGTGGGGGCTTTTGGCTGCTGAGTTTCCTCCCTGGCCCGGTTCGCCCCTCCTTAGACGACCTGGAGGCCACAAGTCTTCCGACATGACCCCCATATCGACGCCGTGCTTAGCACGGACGCCCGATCGACATGCGCGAACGCAGGGCGGGACTCCCAGCAACGACGGTTTCCGCCACCCGGCCTCCAAGTAGCTAGATTACAGACGCACGCCACCACGCCCAGCCACTGGCGCGCGCCAACCCACCTAACCACACACCCTTCGCATTGCCTACCTTCTCGCTTCTCCACTCTCGTCTACTACATCACCACTAGTCATCTGTGTTGCCTCTTCTCACTACTCCCACGCACCCTCTCCTTTCAGCTCAGATCTGACGAACACACGGCCGATTGGCACC